GAATTCCTGTGGCTGAGGATAGCTTCATAATGCTGCATTTTAACCCTTTGTGCCACCAGAGAGGCCCCCACCTGGAAGTTTATTAACACTGCCCAAGTCTAGCTTCTACCTACTTAAAGTTTGCATTTTCACAGAATTTCCAAATGCACACTATAAACTGCATAGGGTAAACATAGACATCTATTGTATGCATAGTACAGTATAGACTCTGTATAGAAAACAAAATAGCAACCGAATGTCTGTGGATAGAAAAGAGATTTTAAAGACTGCAAGAAAAAAAATGCCACAATATTAAATGGAGTTAGGTTTGAATATCAAAAACAAGAATTCGAGAAGCTGCCTATTCTTTGAGGAAAAAATTAATCTTCCTTTTCCATATTACTACAGTACAGGACTATTTTTAATTGTTTTATCTTATCTGAACCATTAACTCAATTGTGTTAGCCCTCTAAATAAAAGAAAAACAGCTTAAACCCATCATGGAATAAAATTGTAGAAACAGCTAGATCACTGCTCTTCCTTCCTACAGACAACACACCTGAGTTTTGCAGTGGAATCCACAGAGAGACATGATGTTTAAAGCACACATTCTGATATTTTACGTGATTTGCATCGATTTCTTACTCTCTTCATCTGCTTTTGAACATGATGCTAACATCAAAAAGGAGGTTAATTTTGATGGTGTGAACATGAATCATGAGCTGTTGGGGTCCTGATGAAAATGCCAATGGGTCACTAGTCTGACCTACCACACCGATTACTTTGAGCTGCTCAAGGCCTAGAATTGATTTGGTGGTGGAACATTTGTGCCTGGCAGCCCACTTAAAGAGCAGAGAAAGAATAAGTTACAATTAAGGAGTCAGAGCAGTTGTTCAGGGAGTTTTTGGAACACCTGCATTGCCAAGTTTAGAGAATTGTGACTGATTGATGTGTCTATCTCTCCCTCTTGAAAAACACCCTTGACTTTAATTGGCATCGATCTGTCTGTGCCTTTGCCTGGAGCATAGTCCATTCTAATTTGGAAGAGAGTCTTCTAATTGTGGTCTCTGTGCCAGGCATGTGAAGAATGCTGCTTGCTTTCTCCTGATCATTCAGTCCTGCTGCTTCCCTCAAACCTTGTCTGCCTTGCCCCATTAAAAGATAATTTGGTATCTTTGTTATTGCAAATGCCTTTCTTCTCTCCTGGAAACATTTGTTCCTGAAAAAAAAGAGGGGGATGGGTTAATCCAGTAAAGAAGCAAAATATGGTTATATGGTTCCAAGGGACCCTGTGCCTGCTCAAACACTTCCCTTACATTTGAGGAAATGTAAGGGAAGTGTTCAAAAGTGTGAATAGCTCCAGAATTTTATGAAATCATTGCACCTATGTGGGAATGTATTGCATTCTGAAAACAAAGGCATCTGGTCAACTTGAAGCATGGTCATCTGACATAAGCAGCCTGGGGATCTTGAATGACTATCTTTGCTCAGTTCCTGGTATGCAGCTTAGTTCCTGGTATGAATCTTGCTTCATGTTAGATCAGGCATTGCCATGAGGCAGAATGGACCTGGGGTTGGAGTGGTCCCCATCACTACTGACCCTTCACTCACTCTTTGGTATGCAGCTATACAGCTCACCTCTTGGTATGTAGCTGCATCATATCTGACTGTGTGCGGCTGCCAGTGCAAACCCACCCAGGGCCTTTGTAGAAACTGAATGTGTATATAGCCCCTGACTTCCTACAAATGGGGCTCAGCCTTGGGATATAAATCTGTTGAGTCAGTACCGGTGCAATAAACCTGCTTCTTGCTAACCCTGATGTCTAAGTTTACCTTTGTGCCATATAACAAACTAGTTTTGGGACAAGATAAATAAAATTAAACAGGGTCTTCATTATAGGGTTTCCTTAACTTCACAGTGATCAATATTTTCTTTAATAAAAGACCAAGGGCCCTCCCTGGTGGTGCAGTGGGTTAAAGCACAGCACTAAGAAGCTAAAGCCACTTCCGCATGAGTTCGATTGCTGCCTGCCCTGGAGGAGACCACATGGCGTGGCAGACCTCTCCTGACCCGCCCGCTGCTCCCCTCAGCAGTGTACTTTGTAGATCTGCCTGTTCTGCTCCCCACTCTGTCTCTGGTGAATCCTTTCACCCTCCGCATCTCTGGCCTGTACCCCAGTTCTGTATGAATAAATAAATCTTAAAAATAAATAAATAAATAAATAAAATAAAAGACCAAAATGTGCAGTGACCCCCAAATACAGTAAAGTCTTTCCATGAGCCATGTCGCAAGAGTAAGGTTTTCAGAATATCAACTAAATTTTACTGATAGTTATTTACAAAGTGCTAATAGAGAGCCACATAAAGCTTTAAATGCTCACAGGGAGTAGAATGCTAATTCAATATGGTGTTTAGTGAAAAAATATATATATTAATGGAGTGTGATGGGCATATTAAGGGCAGGAGTCAGTTTTTAAAAATGGAAACCATCTATGAACAGTATGAACCATCCCAGTAGCAGGAGCCCATAATTTTCAGTAATGAACAGTTGGTTGTGATGCCTGCAAATGAAGAGAGTGAAGCAAATACTATGTTACTTTTGTTATGCTGAAAACACCAGGAGTGAGAAAAGGAGAATGACTTTAAAATAACTAACAGTCCATGGTGATTTACAGTGTTCCACACCTGACACTTAGATAATACCATATCACAATGTTTCTCCAATTAAAAAAAAAAAAAGTACAATTGAGGGACAAGTTGAATAAATAACCGTAAAACAATGAGTCAGTTTAATTTCCCACTAGGATAAAAAGGCAACATTGATAATTCAATTTCTCACTAACCCCACAATTATAATTTGGTATACAGTCATACATTTTACACACTAACACCCTTCTAAATTGAAATTTAGTGCATTTAGTGCACCAACAGCAAAGTGAAAAAAATAATCTTTAAAAAGCCATGTTTTTAATCAATTAATAACCCAATTATCTGGTTATTATGTGAATGTTTTATAAATGGCGTATTTTACTTCATAGATCTCATATAACTCACATTTAAATCAATATTTGAAAGTGAGCATGTCCACCACGCCTGTCTTTATCCTTTTTGATTAGGGATTTGTGACATTTCATTGAGTTTTAATTCCTCAGGTAAATGGCAATAAATTTATATTTTGTTTTATTCATAGGCCCTCTGAATGTATGTGGGTTATATTTTTAATGATAACAATACAATATAATTTAATGACTCAGTTTCTGGAATCTTATGAATAAAATATAAAAGTTGAATTTAATTTGCAAGCCATTAATGAGGAGCTCTTCCCTATCTCCTCCTTCTGGTATCTTTTAAAAGATATCTAATTATTCTTACTCATTATTATGAAAGCTGTAAAAGTTGGGTCATATATATTTGCATATGTTTTCTTTTATTTTTAATCACTTTGAAAGACTGCTAAAAACTACTTCAAAAATGATTCAAAGAAAAAGGAGCATATGAGGTCTGCTTTAAGCTAATGTTACATGTAAGTTGAGCTCACTTTTGCATGTGGCCACCCTGGTGTTGCCCTGGGTTGTCGATCTTTCATCTTCAGAAATCAGTGACGCAACAAGCACCTTTGGTTGTCTAGACTTGGATAGCCCAAAATGAATTCAAGAAAATCAGGTATTTTAGGGCCTCTCTGATGACTCAGGGATTACAGTATGAGCACTATCAAGCTATCACTAGCCGCTGAGACATGAGTTCGATCCCCAGCCAGCAGCCTACTGACATGGTGCAGCAGGACCTCTCCTGCCTCACACACTGCTCCCTTTAGTGGTGTATTTCAGTAGATCTGCTTGTTCTGCTCCCTACTGTCTCTTGTGAATTCTACCCCCCCCCCCACACTCCTGCGCCTCTAGCCTATATGCCCCAGTTCTTGTGGGTATAAATAAATAAAAAATAAATGTAAGAAGAAAATTAGGTGTTTTTTGTTTGTTTTTGTTTTTGGATGAGAAGTAGCCAATACATTGGCTCAGATTACGTTCAAATGCCAAAAACTTAAAAAACTTATATGTCAGAATGATCTACAAATGTTTTATTACCAAATTTCAGAAACTTAGGAGAGCTCCTTCAGTGAGGCTGAACCATTCTGTTTCTCACTCTGCAAATGTTCTCTGTGTTTGTGCAGTAGCAGAAAGTGGTATTTAGGAAATACAAGTTTTTAAATAATCTTAAGTAAAAGTATTAGCTACCCTTCTGAGCACCTACCAGGTGTATTGTTCCAGGCATTTTACCAGTGACACCTCATTTTTCCTGCAAAACTACTCACATGAAGTAATGGTATCCTCTCAATTCATGGATGAGAAAAATGAAGAACAGAGAGATTTTACCCAGACTATTACATAAATGGAATGAACAGCAACCTGCCTCCTAAATGCACTGAGCATTTACAACCTATACAATATAGTTGTACTTCTTAATTATTGGTATTGATGCTTAGGATATAGTTTGTAAAAACAAATGTCATGCCAAATCAGATTTGGCAATGTGTATTACAAACTGATAATACACCTCTTCATAATTACTTGAATCCCAGGTACCCATGACATAGAGGGAGAGTTTAATTGCAGCCAGTGCTTACTGATATCTCAAATGAGTTTTATCTTCCTTTGCATCTTGAACACAATCCAGGATTGTGTGGTAACATGACAATATGTAAGAAGAGATTCATAATCATATAAGCCTTGGTTTAAACCTCACTTACACTGCTTCCTAGTTACAAGGCATCATGCAAGCTCTTCATACCTCTAAACCTCTGTGGCTTCATGGCTTTCTAATTATACTTCCCTGGTGAGAATGTTGAGAGGATTCAATGTAGTTATATACCTGTGGCATTTATCATTATGTCTAACCTACAATAGCCTTTAGCTGTAGCTGTTATCATGGACACAGTTCATCTTCTAAAAGTATATTCTTTCTGTTTTGTTTGTGTTTTTCTGTTTTGTGTATCTGTATATCTGATTCAATTCTTCCTTTTACAGATGGATACACCACTGATGACATTGAGTTTTATTGGCGTGGGGATGATAATGCCGTCACAGGAGTAACAAAGATTGAGCTTCCACAGTTCTCTATCGTAGATTACAAACTCATCACAAAGAAGGTTGTTTTCTCCACAGGTTTGTGTCAGGGCAAAGGGTTAAGGGAAATGTGCCTTCAATCACATTTTTTTCAAGAGTATTTACTTTTATCAGGATTGGGTCTCAGGGAAAGATGGTGACTGTAGAATATGTATCCTAAAAACCTTCCGCTGGTCCTCAAGCCTAATACTCATTTGGAACCCACTAGATTGTTTTCTATAAGGCACCACAACTAAGCTTCTCTCATTTGCAAGAGAAGGGGCTTGTTGTTAGAGACAGATTACAGGAGAAGAAATGATGACCTAGAATCATTCTCTGAATTTATGCTCTATCAGAATTGCTCATAATCTGTTGATACTTGTAGGGGTTAGTCACATCACAGTCCACACAGGTCTCACCAAGGTTGAATTCTCTGAGGACAGTCAATGGGAGGACCAGGGTAGGAATTTCCATCCATGGCTTTACCTCTTGCTTGGGAGCTAGAAATCCTTCCAGATGTTGAGATTGCCCTGATGCCTTCACCTACCTTTCTCTTGCAGTATAGAGATGTTAGGTTTCCTCAACACAAATTTTAACCAAAAGCCCAGGAAAGTAGTCAATAGACAAATACTCATGAAGGGAAAAATAATAAGTCCCCAGGAATATTCCTCTTACAATTTTTCATATTGAAATGAATTCCCCACACAGAAACTGCTAGTCCTATAACTCCAGATTTTGAATTGCCCTGCTGCTAAGGATTCAGGTACTTCTTGTCCTTGCAAAAACTACTTAGAGCAAGAATTGTATGATATGGAATACAAAGTAGACTTCAGCTTTATAAAAAGAATAACAACAGGAACTTTTCTAAATTTGAATTCTTTTGGAGCTCTGAGATGCTATGAATTTCTACATAAAACATTTACTTTAATATTAAAATTCTTGGTTTTGCCCAAGAAGGCTGCACCAGGTTTTCTTTTTAATTAGTAATCTATCTCCCCCATACTTTATCAAGGTAAATCTTTTATGTTCTAAGATCATGTCCTTTACCGCTCTTGCTTAAAGGACCTAGCTTCAAGATATGACCTGCAGTTATATTAGTGAGGCTCAGTGATTCTCCACCCTTTGCCATGCAGGGGTCTCTTTAGAATCTTGATGGGAATAATGAAATTAGAAAGAGGTCCAGGCAGTCTCATAAAAGCCTTCAATGTATTCAACACTGAGCAATTACAGTCTGAGTGTTCTAAGTCTTCTTTTGCAGAAGAGATAAAATGGAATGTGGGAAATGAGAAACTGTACGGGCCTTTAAAAGGCAGTCACCTGTAACTATTGATTGATAATGATGATGCTCTAAAATTGCCTTTCCAGGTTCCTATCCCAGGTTGTCCCTCAGCTTTAAACTGAAGAGAAACATTGGTTACTTTATCCTGCAAACGTATATGCCTTCTATCCTCATCACTATCCTCTCCTGGGTCTCCTTCTGGATTAATTATGATGCTTCAGCTGCAAGAGTGGCATTAGGTAGGCATTCCCAACTATTTGTGGAGCTTTGCCTGTGTGTGTATGTGTGTGCACATGTACATGTGCAGTTTTCTTACCCTGCAATTTGTGGTGCGTGGTAAGATCGGACCACATCATTTCAAGAATTTGAGAGACTTGAGTATTCTGATTCAGCATTAAATCAATGAAACACATATTAAAACTCTTTCATGTCAAAATTAGTGAGCTGTCCATAATGAAATTAGTTCCATCAGTTTGATATTTTTATTGAAACGTTGTTCGTGCCATCCTGTCTGATCATTGTTCAGTTTGTACCCATGCTTTCTCTTCCACCTTTTTGTTTGCAAAAAGGAAATAAGGAAATGGATCATGTACCTAGTAGAGAAGCAGACAGGATACTCAAGTCTTATTTGGGAGTTGCATGGCTCAGAGTAAAAGAAAACAGAATCTTGGGAAATGACCTATGGTTTCTCTTACTGGCCAGTTGATTTTATCTGTTAAACAGCAGAGGAAAAACATAAGTTATTTTCATGAACACTTTTATACTACTAACACAAATATAGTAAATTATGGCCTTAGTACAATTTTTATTATTTCCAGTTCTTTCTAACACTTTAAAAATATTGAATTAACTCTCCCACTGAGAGATCTCAATTATATTACTTGCTTATTGAAGTCATTCATTTATTTATTCAGCAAATACTTTCTGAATACCTTCTGTTCCCCAGACATGCTAGGCACTGGAGGTACAGCATTGTCTTTTTGCAAATTATGTTCTAGCTGTTACACATAGGCAGTAGCTTTATTACACATACAGATTATATAAGACAGTGATTCTATAGTGGAAAGTAAGCCAGGTCAGGACTTTGGACATTCCAGGGCTTCAGTTTAGACTAATAACGGTGGGCCTCATTCTCAGTTGTCAACAGAGCAAAGGCATGAATAAGAGAAAGAACCACTTAGATATCTGGGTGCAAATATTCCAGACCATGACACAGGCCCAGAGATCAATACGTGACAAGCATATCAGCAAGGGAACCAACAGAAATGTGCACGGTGAGTTCAGGAGGAAAGCTAATTACAGGGAGAGAGGACGACAAGATTCTGAAGCAGTTCAGGGGCCTTGACAAAGACTGTGCTTTTATTCAATGTGAAATTAGAGTGTCACTGAACAAGGAAATAACATGATTTGATTTCAGTTTTAAAAGGATCATAATTAGCTGCTGTACTGAGATTCAATCGTGGAGGTCACAGGAAGGAGAGGAGAAGTAATGATCTCCAGGTCCCAGTCAGGACCCCTGTGTATCGTCTCTTAAAATAGAATCGAGCTCCCCCTGTGTACCAGTCTGAGGTACATTTGGTATTTACTTGGTTTATAACACTCTTTTCATGAAGTTGTGGAGAGACCCACTAGACAAAGGTCCCTGTGTAATTTTGTTTTATTATATCTGTAGTGTTTTTAACACAGTGAGTGAATAGTGTTCAGGAAATTTTCACTGCATCCTAACCCATTGCACCACCAGAGAGGGCCCACCTTAAGAGTCCTTTAGTGGGCTAAAGTACTGTCCCCTGTTTTTAGAAAGCTCTTTTCAGCAACCTTCCCACAGGTCCATCTTCACACTTGATCACATGTGCTTGGTTGCTTGGGCAGCTCCCATTCATCCTTCTGACTCACCTCACTGTGGCCACTTCCTTCTCACTTCTGTACCACCTCACTAGGCTGAACTGGCACCTGCTCACCTCTCACCCAAAACACCATTTCTCCCACTACCTCTGATTCACACATCTAGTCCCCCTTCACAACCTAAAACTGTAAATGTAAGCATAGATGTAAGGAATTGCTCCTCAAGGTATATGTTGGCTGTGGATTGATGATTTATGCATCACTTTAGGGCCCACCACAGGGTTGGTGTAGAATAAGTGTCCAGTAAGTATTTTGGGGCATATATGGATGAATAAAAGGACGATTAACCTATTTACCTTCAAGAGAACATGGAAATGGGAATATCATTTCTCAAACTCTCCCATTTTTTTTCAGGAATCACAACTGTGCTCACAATGACCACTATCAACACCCATCTCCGGGAGACACTCCCAAAAATTCCCTATGTGAAGGCCATTGATATGTACCTGATGGGGTGCTTTGTCTTTGTTTTCATGGCCCTTCTGGAATATGCTTTGGTCAACTACATCTTCTTTGGAAGGGGACCCCAACGCCAAAAGAAAGCAGCTGAGAAGGCTGCAAGTGTCAACAATGAGAAGATGCGCTTGGATGTCAACAAGGTAAATTCAGACACCTTGCAGCTCTTGTTTTTTAAACTTATAGAAGAATGCGAGCAATATAGGCTAAGAATCTTGATTATCTGGGTCAGGGAAGGGAACAGGTTATTTTCTCCAAATTCTACAAATCATTATTGACCAAGGCACATTTAATGCCCAAACAAACAACACAACTTCAGGATTCCCATTTCATTAATGCAGGGTTGCCCAAACTCTAGTCATCTGAGAACCAGCCCCCTTGCCTTCTTTAGATTCCAGTAAGATTTATACTGTCCTTTACTTTAAATTTTAATTTACATTTACAATTCATTGAAATGTTAAAAAGCAAATGATTGTTTCCTTCACATTTATTCACACCTTTTAAATTTTAATTTAATATCACTAAAAGCTGTTCCCCTTCTTGGAAAATACTATTAAGTAGAAATAACTAAAGAAAAACCTTGCTAATCACTGGTAGACAAAGGCCTTGGGTCTGAAGTCTATATTCACTCCGATTTTAAAAAAAGAGAGACATGTACAAAGATGTACCAAAGTTCTACCAGCCACCAACTGAGACTTTTTCCTTGAAGGAATCAGAAAGATCAAAGAGAACAGAGGTGGAGAGAAGCGCATTCTGAAGTGACAAAGTAGTACTTAAACCTTACATATGTACGACTTAAAATTATGGAGTCTCTGAGCTACTGTCTTGCTTAAGTCAAACATGAACATAGGGCCAGTCCCACACAACCATAAGCTCTATTTGTTCTTTAAGACAAGCTTTCTTAACCAGATGCCCACTAAATGATGAGAAAACATTAAAGAATAATGAGGCCCGAGGTCCTTCCCCTGGCCTCCAGGCTGAGATGCCCTGAGGTTTGCCAGGGCATATACTTTTTAATTTCTCCACAGGCCATTCTAATTTGCAGCCCACAATTTAGCATCTAGACTTTTGAGACTTTTGATAATGATTCCAGAGTACCCTTCTCTTTACTCTCAAAATGTGCCTTCTCCTGCTTTTCCATTATAGAACTTTCTGTGTGAAACAGAGTATTTGTAGATATATTTTCTCATGGTTCATATTCATACCTTTCAAAATATACAAAGAAAACAAGATCTTTTAAATATCCCCATGTTTGTAAAGTAGATTTGTAAAGTAGATTAACTATTACAATAATTACTTTGTTGATATTTTAATGTTTCTAACTTTGATCAAATTCTAATGCTAGCACATCATAAATATTTTCTACCTTGAGTTTTATTGGCAGCAAACTCCAGGAATGCTTCTGATTTACTAAACTTCCCCACATGTCTGTAGCCTGACATTGTGATTCTGGACTAGTCTCTACTCCAAGGTTCTAATCTCTAGTCTCCAATCATGCCCAGGAGATAATATTTGTAATTGGCCAGTTCTAAGTATGACCCTTGAAAATCCATGAACTCAGGTCTAGGTAATTGTGGTCTCTTTCCAGTGCCAAAGTTTTCACCTCTTGAAATCTGTCAATAAATTCCAACCTAGCATTGAGTCTCTGAGGCTACTAACTGAGAAGGTGCTTTTAAACCCATTGTATGATTTTCCTGATGTGGTATCATTAGTAAAGAAGAGAAAATAAACAAGTAAATGAGCCCGTTTATAGGATGTCCTTTGAAATGTGTCCAGATCCATTGACTAATACAAAGCTGACTTAATAGGATAATATTCTGATCACTTTTCACTTTCCTCTACTCTATTTTTTCATACCAGTTTACAATTAAATGATAAATTTAAGACCCAGCAAGTGGTGGCTTTATAGTGAATTGAACCTGAAGAGCTTCAGATTGTTTGAAAGCCACTGTGTTGAGCTGTTGGTGAAGAACAGTACCCAACACTTGCCCACTGGCTGGCAAGGTTGGCGCCACAATGTCCAGCACAGATTATGAGAGAACAGAAAAGATGCCCTGGGTTCTTCCAATACAGGTTTTCTCAAAACACAGGCAATTGTGCCCCTCGGAGGATCTTTGCCAATGTCTGGATGTTTGAGGTTGGTCAAAACTAGAGGAAGGGAATTGTTATAGATGTCTAGTGGGTGGAGGGCAGGGCGTGCTGAAGATCCAGTGGTGCAGTTGGCCAGCACCCCTGTCCCTCAACAAAGAATTGTCAAGCCCCAGTGCCAGTTTTTTTGAAGCTAAAAAATCTCTACTCTAGAACCTCCCTGGGGCCTTAAGGGTCAAGTCTCAACACAGCTACCACCACAGAGGCCTGAGTTCAGTGGCCAGAATTCAACCCCCTGGCAGGGAGCTGAACTCTCCTGTTTTGCCCTTTGCTTCCCCTCAGCAGTGTCTTTCAAGAAATCCTCCTGTCTGCTCTCCCGCACTGTCTCTGGTGAATCCTTTGACCCCCATACCTCTGGCCTGCACCACAGTTCTTCTATGCAAAAACAAATAAATAAAATACTAAAAACAAACAAACAAACAAAAAAACGCCCATTCTAATGCAGTCCCGTTTGTTAATAATGAGAAATAAAGCCCATAAAATTGTAAGATACTTGTCCTACTTTTAAACCCTTTAAGCAAGTATTTTCTCTATTTGGTATGTATGACATCAAGATCGCAGGAGTTAGGAGTATGTTTCTGAACAGTTATTTTTGGAATAAGTCAGTTTCAACATTACCTTCTACTTAATGATTGTGTGGAAATAAGCAAAGAAAATCACCCTTTATGGCCCTTCTATTTCCTCATTAATAAAATGGGCTGGTTACCTTTCTCCTAAAATTGTTATGACTATTATTTGTGAGATGTGTGGACAGGATAACACGTTCTTCAGGGCTGAAATGCTCTTGTAAGCAGTAAATATTAATAAACTATCACACTGTTATTGATAAGCATTATTACCCTTTAAAGTGTAGTCATCAAATCTGTCAGTGATACTTGCTTGTGTATTTAATGTGCTTCACCACTTTGGATGCTATCCCACCCTAAAGCAAATATTCCCCAGAGGAATGTTTTAGACGAGAAGTTGTAAAGTCCAAGCTAGGAAATGATTTCTTAACTGGTCTTAGCTGTAAAATCTATAGTAAATCAACCACTTTAAACCTGATAAACTGTTGCTCAGACCAAAATACTTGCAGCCATCTGGAATAGGTTAAAACTAAAAGGTGACCCTGTAACATCCCAGTTGCCCACAGTTTTCTTTTGAAGCCAGCATGGAAGGTTAAAGGAGATTTGATTACAATGACTTTCTTTTGTATTAACATCATGAATAATGCACTCTCTTTCTCTCTCTTTTTTTTTTTTCAAAAGTGTCCCTTCTTTTCAACTGTGATTCTAAAGTGTTGTGGGTTCTCCCCACTCCCCAAAGATCAGGCCCATATAATCAACCAAGCATTGTTGGCTGCTGGAGGAAAATTAATCACTGGAAGAGGGATTGGCTTTTTTACCTTCTCTGGATGGTTTCCTGAGAGAGAAGCAGTATATCAAGTCACCATTGTGATTTTTATACTGTGCTCTGTCCCAGGTCAGGAAGGAATGAAAACAGGAATTATAACCAGGGAGGGGAGTGAACTCTCTACTGTGTCCCTGCCTTTTCCCCCAAATTTCCAATCTCTTGTCTATTCATTTTCAGTGAATTTAATTTAATCATAGTAACCGCAACCCTTAAAACAATCTTGTCTTGCCATTTAGCTGAGACACAACCTATACTCTTAAAATAATAAAACATCCAAGGTTGCAAAGCAGAACTGACAGAATTTCAGAGATGATCTAACTTTTCATTTCCTTATCTTATATATTTTTCACTATACTAGCAGTTGAAAAAAATAAGATAATTTTTTAAAATCATTCCTTATTAATCTGTATTTTCAGTTCAGTTGACTTCACCTGAAAAACAACCCATTTATCTACAAAGGAGAGACTATGTCATCAGTTGTCTTCATGTGACAAGTTGTAAAAAAAATTAAATTTTGAAAAATAGTCTTCAAACCAATAAGGTGTCTATTGAATATTTCCCCCAAATATCTTCTTAGTAGCTCCAAATTTTATGATCATTATCCTAGCGTGAAGTAATTCCTTCCTATCATCTCTTGCATTCTTCTATCTGTATGTGTGTGTCCTTATAGAATTTGCTCTTGAGTAATTGCACCCCATTTTCTTGCTCAGGCTGCCAAGTTTTCAACTCTCTGTTTATCTTTTAAGTTGTGTCATCTTGCTCATTTTTCTGCCAGTAACTAAGTGTCTATATATTTGAGAATTTAGTTACTCCTAGCTTTTCACCACCTTGATCTGGCATATCTGAAATGCTTCCAAAATCCTTAATATGATCAGAGACAAAAAACACCAGTTCTCCAAGTAAAATTGCACCAAAAAGATCTGGGAGCTTCCTTTATTCTGCTTTCATAGATATGCAAGTATCAGTGCTGTCTATCCTCTGTGCTGAATTTTCTGTTATGCAAAGCCACTAAGAACTTAAGTCTACTTATTTCTAGGTCTTGGAATTAGATTTTTTTAAGTGATACATTAAGAAGATAAAAGTAATTAGAAATGCTGTTCTCTGTCAGCGTTAGTCCTACTAAAGGCCAATAGCATTTATCTATATCCAATTAACTTTAACCACCAATTCTAATCTAGTGGCATCCGTCAACTTAATTAGCACATTCTCTACTTTGTCTTCCAGATATTTTATAAAGATATTAAACAAAATGGGACCCAATATCGATCCTTGTGGGACCCTACTGGAAACCTCTCCCCAACTAGACGGACTACCAATTACGATTTCTCTCTGTATACGGTTAGATAGCCAGCTTTTAATCCATTTACTTGTATTTCTGTTGGAACCACTTTGCTTAGCTGTTCCCTTGAAAAGAATGTCTGGGGTCTTTGCAGATAATCAATGAATTTGTATCCTGAAAGCCTTGGGAATAAGTTAAATGCTTTCATGAAACTCTCTATGAGGTTTTCCTGGGTTTCTTTTGTAAGGTAGCTTTGACAGTGATAAATGTCAGTGATCCATTCAGTCATTGTTCTGCTAGAGGGAAAAAAAAAATATATCATAC